GTAAGATCTTGATTGTGGTCTGGTGCTACAGGTGGGTTTTTTTTTTCTATATATCATATATCAGGGCTCTCTCTGCGTCGGGTGTGTGTGTGTGTGTGTGTGGTGTTGTGTGCTGTGTGTGTGTGGGTGTGGTGTGTTGTGTCATCTTCGTGTCTGTGTAATGTGTGTGTGTGTTTTTTTTGTGCTTGTCTGTGTGTATGTTGTGTGGGTTTGTGTTGGTGTTGTAGTGAGTGTGTTGTGTTATTGGTGAGTGAGTGTATGTGTGTGTTGTGTGTGTGTTGTGTGTGTTGTGTATGTGTGTGTTGTAGTGTGTGTGTGAGTGTGTGTGTAGATAGATGGTAATGTGTGTGTGCGTGTGTGGTGTGTGTGTGTTAGTGGTATGTGTGACTGTGGTGTGTGTGTGTGCATGTGCGTGTGTGTGTGTGTGCGTGTGGTGTATGTGTGTGTGTGGTGTCTCCATCTTTGTGTGTATGTGTGTGTGTGTTTTGTCGCTGTGTGTAGTTTGTGTGTGTTTGTGTGTGTTGTAGTGATGTGTGTGTGGTGGTATGGTGAGGTGAGTGTGTGTGTTATGGTGAGTGGTGTGTGTGTTATGGTGAGTGAGTGTGTGTTGTGTGGGTGTGTGTGTGTGTGTGTGTGTGGTGTGTGTGTGTGTGTGGTGTGTGTGTGTGTGTGTGTGTGTGTGTGTATGTGTGTGTGTCTGTGTGTTGTAGTGAGTGTGTGTGTGTGTGTTATGGTGAGTGAGTGAGTGTGTGTGTTATGGTGAGTAAGTGAGTGATGTGTGTGTGTGTGTTGTGTGTGTGTGTGTGTGTGTGTTGTGTGTGTGTGTGTGTGTGTTGTGTGTGTGTGTGTTGTGTGGTGTGTGTGTGTGTGTGGTGTGTGTGTGTGTGTGTGTGTGTGTGTGTAGAGAGAGAGAGAGAGAGAGAGAGAGAGAGAGAGAGAGAGAGAGAGAGAGAGGAGAGAGAGAGAGAGAGAGGAGAGAGAGAGAGAGAGAGAGAGAGAGAGAGAGAGGAATGTGTGTGTCTGTTTGTCTGTGCATCTGCGTGTGTGTTTTTGTGTGTTGGTGTGTGTGCTTGTGTGCAATTGTGAGTGTGGTGTGTGTGTGTTGTGTGTGTGTGTGTGTGTGTGTGTGTGTGTGTGTGTGTGTCGTGTGTGTGTGTGTGTGTGTGTGTGTGTGTTGTGTGTGTGTGTGGTGTGTGTGTGTGTGTGTGTGTGTTGTGCGGAGTGTGTATGTGTGTGTGTGTCTGTGTGAATGTGTGTATGTGTGGTGTGTGTGTCCACTCTTCGTGTCTGTGTATGTGTGTGTTTGTGTGTGTGTTAGTGTGTTTGTTGTATGTGTGTGTTGTAGTGTGTGTGTGGTGTGTATGTGTGTCCGTGTGTATTTGTGCGTGTGTTGTAGTGTATGTGTGACGTGTGTGTGTGTGTGTGTGTGGGTGTGTTGTGTGTGTGTGTTGTGTGTGTGTGTGTGTGTGTGTTGTGTGTGTGTGTGTGTGTGTGTGTGTGTGTTGTGTGTGTGTGTGTGTGTGTGTGTGTGTGTGTGTGTGTGTGTGTGTGTGTGTGTGTGTGTGGTGTGTGGTGTGTGGTGTGTGTGTGTGTGTGTGTGTATGTGTGTGTGTGGTGTGTTGTGTTTGTGGTGTGTGTGTGTGGTTGTGTTTCTGGTGTGTGTTTGTGTGTTGTGTGTGTGTGTGTGTGTGTGTGTGTTGTGTGTGTGTGTGTGTGTGGTTGTGTGTGTGTGTGTGTGTGTGTGTGTGTGTGTGTGTGTGTGTGTGTGTGTGTGTGTGTGTGTGTGAGCGAAGGAGAGAGAGAGAGATTGAGTGTGTGTGGTTGTGGTGTGTGTATGTGTGTGTGTGTTGTGGTGTGTGTGTGTGTTGTGGGTGTGTGTGTGTTGTGGTGTGTGTGTGTTTGTGGGTGTGTATGTGTGGTGGTGTGTGTGTGTTTTGTGGTGTGTGTGTGTGTGTGTTGTGTGTGTGTGTGTGTGTGTTTGTTGTGGTTTGTGGTTGTGTGTGTTGTGGTGTGTTTGGTGTGTGTGTGTGTTGTGTGTGTGTGTGTGTGTGTGTGTGTGTGTTGTGTGTGTGTGTGTGTGTGTGTGTGTGTGTGTGTGTGTGTGTGTACATGCACATTCACACACACATGTATATATCTGTCTTTCTATCAATCTATACATATAAAGTGTATGTATGTGAGCGTGTTTAAATGCTTTATGTAAGTCTGTTTTCTGAATGTGAAATAAGCCTATTATACAAGGACATACTCTTCTTTTTCGTATCTAATCACAAGGACATACTCTTTTTTTTCGTATCTAATCACAATCTTTATCAACGTTACATATATTTCTGCGGTGTGGCAACAGGTGTCGGCGCCTCCCATTGGCCATAGGTCGGGGGCCGGGCAGGTTGATGCTATAATCTTTGGGAAAACGATACGATGGCATCATGGTGATTTGGTCAAATGGGTTGTCCTAATTTTATGCCTCACCATTCTTCTCAGTCTGTCTGTCTATCTA